CGTAAACAATGTTGACAATTTTCAAAACAAACTTTGACAACTTGCTTCTTTTATCTAGTTTAAAAAAAATAGTTACCTGTTCAAGTGATGCTACTTTATTAATTTACTTTGAAAAGATGATAATGTGGAAGATTGGTATATGATACGACTTTTTTATTTCCATATTTGGAATTAGCACAACAAGTAACACCAGGATTAGTGAAAATTATTTTAAAAGTTTTTTCATCGTTGGCCTGTGTTATTATTGTACCAATTTTATTTAGAAAACTTACTTACGGTGACTCAAAATCGGCCATGATTTTTATAAATTTAAAATTAAATAAAAAATAGTTTTACAACCCAAAGAAAAATTAAATTTTCCTTCATGCAAGCTTGGAGCCAAAGAATAATAAGTTGGACATTGTTTTACAACAATAACATATCCCTCTCCACACAGACGAGTTTTGTGTGAATTCAACACGCTGGCGAAAGTCCGACTCTCTCACAATACATCAAAACTTTTTCACGAAAATATGAAGATAATTTACCTTTTTACACCTTTTCTTACACACACAACACATTTTTTTGTTTTATTTCGCATTTTACAGCGTTAAATAGCCCGAAATACTTTTATTTTTTGTAAACGAGAAATATATATTTTTTAATTTTTTGACAATTAATTTTTGAGGAATTTTAATAAAACTAAAAAAAACTAAGTTGTAAATTTGAGTATTAAAAATGGGAAATAAATATAAAATAAACATAATATTTTGCAAATATAGGAATAAACAAATTGAAAAATGTATTTATTATATGTTTACAGATCAAATGTGCAATAATAAGATTAAAAAATCTGTGAAAGTATAAATTTAAATGTTTTATATTTTTCCTAAAATTTTTAAGTACGTTTTTATGCAACTATGTAGGTTTTAATTCAGTGGTGAAAGTGGTTAGAGCTACAATACTTATAAAAAAATTCTACCAATACATTCTTAGAGTTAGGTACCGAATGACAACTCCTTTAGGTACCAACTAACAAGCTCCAATTTCTTTATATTCTTTGCTTGGTGTACTCCAAGGTATATTAATTATAAGGTAGTGTTAACAGAGCAGCTGATTGTTTTTTGGTAATACACTTTGGATTTTTTATATGTAGTTTGACAGTGTGCTGGCACTTTGAAGTGTAGGCATGCTGTCAAACTCCATATATAAAAAATAAAATGAATTCGCTCCGTATTTCTGAATTCGCCGACGACACTACCTTATAATTAATATATCTTGGTGCACTCTAATATACATCTATCCAAGGCGAATTCAGATAAGGTGGTGGCAGTTCGACAACAACATTTTACGTGCATTTTGTTTTTGCATTTGGTACGCACTGATGTCAAAAACCGTAAGTACGGCGAAAAATTTCTATATATTATATTTTATAAAAAATAAGCATACAAATTTGTGAAGAAAATATATCCGAAATAGAATAGTGTTTGTTTCAAATGAAAAATTCTATTCCAGCAGATTAATTTGCAAAACCTAAGTTTGGCTTGAAATTATATAAAATTATTATTTTTTTTTTTTTGAAAAATAAATGTAAAAATTAATAATCAAATTATATTCAAAATGAAGAAATCTTTGTTGCAAATTGAACATTTTACTCCGGCGGTGCAATTTTCAAAATTGTTAATTTGGCTGCCGCCGGGCGGGTAAGTACGTCATAGGTTTTGGTATATACAGTATTCCGGAACGGAATTTTTTAGTTTGTTACATTTTATAGATTTCAAAATTTCTTCATAGAAGTCAGCTTCCGCTGGGCGGTATGAATATTTCATATGGGTTTCATTATATAGTGTTCCGGAAGAGAACTTTTTAATAACGTTATCTACACAATATAAATATAAACAAGTAAGAGTGCTATATTCGGCTGTGCCGAATCTTATATACCCTTCACCATAGTGTATTTAAAAATTCATTTTCCCGACTATCATTATTATAGCAATAGCAAAACATAATGAACAACAACAACGTTAAACGAAATAAACACACAAAAAACAAAATACACAAGGCAGTAAAACCAACAGACATCCAAACATACGAAATTCAATACACCAAGAAAACAAAAACAATATACACAGGGCAATGAAAGACACAGCCATTCAAACATACGAAATTGAATGTACCAAGAAACAAAAACAATATACACAAGGCAATGAAACACACAGCCATCCAAACATACGAAACGAAATACTCAAAAAAACAAAAACAAAATACAAAGGCAATGAATAAGCAGTGTTGTTTATTTTTTATGAAAATTTCAGAGGTTGTCTCGGATTTTTGCTTATATCTCCGTTGTTTATGAACGGATTTTGCTGATTTTAAATAGGAAACTTCTCGAAAGCATGTCTGATAGAATTATTGAAGATTTGGATTCCGAAGATGTCTGGGGTCTTCAGAAAACTGATTTCAACAGACAGACAGACAGACGGACATGGCTTAATCGACTCCGCTATCTATAAGGATTCAGAATATATATACTTTATGGGGTCCGAAAATTATATTTTGGAAATTACAAACGGAATGACAAACTTATATATACCCTTCTCACGAAGGTGAAGGGTATAAAAATTAGTATGATTTAATTTATTAGTATTTAATAAAAACTATCTTAAATAAAATTTGTATTACCAATTATGCTATTATTTAAATAAAATAATATTTGTTTATGCTATGTTTCCACTGAGGCGTTTTAAGCAAATTTAGTGGATTTGGGCAATACTAGTTGAAATCATGTAGATTTGCCATACATTTTTGACAAATCCAAATCTACTTAATCTACTAGATTTGATTTAAAACATGTCGAAAATGTATTTTTTCGAACAAGATTTGCTAATACAACACTGCGTTGTGTCTAGGATAACCTAGAGGCTATCCATTCAAGTTGAATGTTTTCATCGAAAAAGTGACTTTTCATTTTGAAATAAAAAGAGAAAAAATTATAATTTTAAAATAAGTGGCATTTAATAATAAAATGTATATTTTTACATCTGTAATTTTGTATTTTTAATGTTTAAATTTAAAGGATATTAACATAACCATCGTTGTATCAAAATAAAATGACGGGAATTGTTCGAAAATTCGAATATCGGAAACGAGTAAGCTCAGTGGAAACACCTTGATGAGGTTTAAGCAAATCTAGTAGATTTCAAGCCAGTAGAAACATAGTATTATTATACATATTTCAAAATACTAACGAAGTTTTTCTCTGTTTTTTAAATATAAAAATGTAAACAATAACAAACTGACATTAGTGCGTACCAGTCAAGTCAAGAAAATAATAATCATCTGATTGAATAACACCACCTTATATGAATTCGCCTTGCATCTATCTATCAATCGATTTTAAACCCGTGTCTATATTAGCCAAATATTTATCACGATACTTGACAAAACGTCGGCAGAAAAATTGTTAGTTTATGTTTATGCATAGGGGTAACAAAATGCTGATTTTATCACGACAACTCACAGATAATTTTATTGAAATAATGCAAAATTTTATAAAAACAATTAAAATTAAATGCAAATTTTGAAAATAAACACTAATTTCACTAAAACTTGTGTTAAAAATCAATTTTAATTGCACAAAAACATATTCTAAACAAATTTCACAATAAAATGACGTTTGTTATCAAGACAACGTTGTCTAAACAATTGTTTAAACAACACTGTCATAACGACGTTATAATGCTAATAAATGCCGTCTGTACCTGCTAATTTTTTATCATGATAACAATTTGACGTTTAGCATAATAAATATTTGTCTAATATAGACATGGGGTAAGACGCCGACCCAAGGTATATTAATTATAAGGTAGTGTTAACAGAGCAGCTGATTGTTTTTTGCTAATACACTTTGGATTTTTTTTATATGTAGTTTGATAGTGTGCTGGCACTTTGAAGTGTAAGCATGCTGTCAAACTCCATATATAAAAAATAAAATGAGTTCGCTCCGTATTTCTGAATTCGCCGACGACACTACCTTTTAATATATCATGGCGAAACTAATAAGGTGAAGTCATTTCAACAGCTGATTGTTTTTTTGTCCATGGAAATTTAGCCCGAAGTTGTCAAACTCAATATAAAAAAAATTCTCTCTCAAACCCGATGCTGTCAAACTACATATATAAAAAATTTCATGAATTCGCCGCAAAATGAAATGACTTCACCATGGAAATTTAGCCCGAAGTTGTCAAACTCAATATAAAAAAAATTCTCTCTCAAACCCGATGCTGTCAAACTACATATATAAAAAATTTCATGAATTCGCCGCAAAATGAAATGACTTCTCCTTATAGTCTATTCGCCTTGGTTCATACCCTGAGAGCTGGTCAAAAAAAGTAATTATCAAAAGCTTTTAGTTTCGCCTTTACGTCAAATATTTGATCAATGGGCATTCTACATCTATTCTGAAAAATATAATTTGATTACCATATTCTTGGAATATGTTAATATATTTCGATTTTGTTTTAAATAATGTATAAAATTGGCTATACCTAGTGTGCTTTGCTACCCTAAAAGCAATATATGTAAATAAAAAACCCATTTAACGATTTTGAAGATTCTAACTACAATTTTTTATTGTAATCTATGAAAAATTTGAATAATCTAATAGTTTCCAAGATATACGAAATTGTAAATAAAATAAAAAGTTTCCTATAACCTCTTCCAGGCATACAGGAATACACTGTGAAAAATTCAATAAAATCTGTTCAGCCGTTTAGTAGTCTGTAAACTTCAAACATACAAACAAACATACATTCACTTTTATATATATTTATATATAAATTGATAATGATAAAATTTATGTAAATTTAGGCAAAAATCCTGTTTTAAAAAATCGTCAAATTTAGAGGTAAAATCTTCAATAGATAATTTTTGACACTGAAAATCGTCAAAATGACGATAAATCGTCAAATCTGGCAACAGTATTCAGATGTCTGATTTTGGCGGGAAAATGTGTTTGTATCAAAACAAATGTATCAAAAGTAACTCGCATATTTCTTTGAGAAGGCAAAGTTGTTGGTTGTGTTTGTTTCTGTAATTTATATTTGCCAAAGACAACATCAATATTTGCAATTTTAATTTGTTAATAAATTTTGAAATATTTTACCAAGTAATAATATATAACCATGGACGGTTTTGATGAAGCTGGTATTTTTTTCTCCGATAATTTATTGGGCGATGGACAGCAGGGACAAGATGGAAATCAAATTAATATGCAAGCTGTTAAAAAGAAATACAAGGAATTTCTTCGCACATTTAATGAAGATAATTTTTTTTATAAATATCGGTAAGTCATTTAATTTAAAATAATTTCTCTATGAATACCTACCTATTTCTCAATTGAAATGCAGAGATACTTTGAAGAGAAACTATCTTAACGGACGCTATTTTTTGGAAGTGGAAATGGAAGATTTGGCCGGCTTTGATGAAACATTAGCGGACAAACTTAACAAGCAGCCAACTGAACATCTGCAAATATTTGAAGAAGCTGCCAAAGAAGTGGCAGATGAAATAACTGCACCTAGACCCGAAGCGGAAGAAAATATGCACGATATTCAGATATTATTGATGTCTAATGCTAATCCCACAAATGTGCGTGATTTAAAATCAGATTGCGTTTCAAAGTTGGTGAAAATTGCCGGTATTATAGTTTCTGCTTCGGGTATAAAAGCCAAAGCTACTAAAATGTCTATCATGTGCCGTTCTTGTCATACTGTAATTCCTAACCTTAAGGTGAATCCTGGACTTGAGGGATATGCTTTGCCTAGAAAATGTAATACTGATCAAGCGGGTCGTCCCAAGTGCCCGTTAGATCCTTTCTTTATTATGCCTGACAAATGCAAATGTGTGGATTTTCAAACTTTGAAACTACAAGAGTTGCCTGATTATGTACCTCAGGGTGAAATCCCTAGACATTTGCAGCTGTTTTGTGATCGCTCATTGTGTGAACGTGTGGTGCCTGGAAATCGTGTTCTTATACAAGGCATCTATTCGATCCGCAAAGTCGGAAAGCCTTCGCGTCAAGACGGTCGTGAAAAAGCAGTCGTTGGCGTTAGAGCTCCTTATATGCGTGTTGTTGGAATTACTGTTGACACAGAAGGCTCAGGTGCAATATCCCGATATAGTAATATCACTAATGAGGAGGAGGAAACCTTCCGTCGAATGGCTGCTTCGCCAGATATATACGATCGTTTATCCAAATCTCTAGCTCCAAGTATTTTTGGCTCCGAGGATATAAAAAAGGCTATAACATGTATGCTTTTTGGTGGTTCACGTAAACGTCTTCCTGATGGACTTTGTCGCCGTGGTGATATAAACGTTTTATTGTTGGGTGACCCTGGTACTGCCAAGTCTCAGTTGTTGAAATTTGTGGAAAAAGTTGCTCCAATAGGTGTTTATACTTCGGGAAAGGGTTCGAGCGCTGCTGGCTTGACAGCTTCTGTTATGAAGGATCCTTCAACGGTATGTTACAAATTTGTTTGCTTAATTTTTATTTAAAAAAGTATCCACAATCTGGTATGTGGTAGATTTCGAACGATTTGAAACTGTGTGTTGTTATTTTCTTGAAAAATACTGCACAGACAACAAATTACGTTCTATTTAAGATAATTGATTAAAAAATGTTATAAAATTTTATTAAATACTCTAAAAATTGAATAAAAACTAGACAAAAATGGTTTTTGTCGACTTTAAATCGATATATTCCAAAAAAATAATTCAATTACATACCTGAATGTCCAATTAATATATTAGAAACTCTAACTCTCTAAGCTCCCTATGAAGGTAAACCTTGAAATAAGTCTTAATATCGTCATCTGGCCGTATTTTTCATAAAAAAAGTCCTTAAGACTTCTCATAAAAATTTTCCCTTATTTGTTTTAATTTGTCCGGAAAAGTAGCTATTTCTACATTCTTACCGACATACCTAGTAAGTAAAATTGTTTCTACAGCATGTTTCTAACAGGAACACAAGTTTATCAAAAAGTATCTACAACAACTTTCTAATTTAAATACATGTGTATTAAGAAGTATCTAAATATATTTTGTTTAAATGCTACCCACATACATGTATCTACAAATTCGTTCATAAGTATAAGGACTTTCCAATTATCGCTAGATCATGATCCTAATTTTAAGCAATAAATTTTGCTTACAATTAATCTAAACAGTGAAAAAATGTTGATCAAAAAATATTTTTCAATAAATGAAAAATTTTTTGTTTATTAAATTACAACACACTTGATTTTTTTAAATTTTAATTCTCTATTCTCATATACAATGTTAATCACAAGTATATTCAGATGTAATGCATAAAATGTTATTAAAAAAATATCCAGATTTTATATACAAGTAAATGAAATTGTAAGTAACACAAAGTAAAGCACATAACATTGGTTACAATTCCGAGTACCCAGAAAATTTTCTGTGGGAATATGCACAAAAAAAAAAATATTTTAACCAAGGACATTATAACTTTTGTAATAAAATTTAATAAAAAAAGATCTAACGATAAATGGCTTTCTATGTATGTATTGATGTAAATAAATAAAATAAATAAATAAATTTTTCCCTGTTCGAAATTGCAAAATTATTATTCCTGCAAAAAAAAAAAAATCGGAAATTTTAAAAACAACTTTTTATAAAAATATATTTCAAATCAATAAAAACTGTATATGGGCGACCGTATAACACATAAATTGGTTGCGCAATGGCTCTGAATTATTTTAAATTTTTTGCAAATATCGGAAATCGGATGAAAATTTTAAAAGTTATTACAAATACTGTTTGAAATGAGCATAAGTCCGAAAGCTTTTTTTCTTTTGTTTATTTTATTTTTTTTTTTTTAATAAATATTACGAAAATTACAAAACCATTTTATGTTTAATTCGATTAAACATAATGGAATTTACCATCGAGAAACAAGGTAAACTTCAGAATTCCAACTTTATATTAAAAAAATATGTTTAACATTTTCAGCACCAAAGAATATCTTTATATTAAACATATTTTTGTTCCTTCTGATGCAGAAATGGATTCTGCAACATACCTTTTTGTTTTAAATTTGTCCATTTACTTCGATAATTACTTAGAAAAAAGAACATGAAAAGAAGTGAAAAACAAGTAGAATTACTCCACGCTGAAAATAATCCATTCTTAACTTTACGAAAAAAAAAATCGTAACTACTATTTTCGTAATATTTGCAAAAATTTCGTGTATAAAACGAAATATTACACCCTGTAACAATTTTGAAAAAAAAACTTTCACACATAAAAAAGTTTATATGCACGTGAAACTAGAGTCCATTTTTAGCAATTCTGCATACTCCTATTTTTCAAATTTTAAAGGAGTTACAATTTCAAATGAATATTTTAAATATTTATGTATGTTATATGATGCTAATACTGATATCAAATGAAAGCTGGTAAACTGTACATTATATCTATAGGGTCTTATTCATAAACTTTTATCAAAGGTTTATAAATCAAATTTTCATACAAAATTTGTACTATAAACCTTTGATAAATGTTTACGAATAAGGCAGATAGTATTTATTTCGAAACAAAAATTTTTAACAACTTTTTTATTACAAATTTTCTTTAAGCCTTCATTTTTCTTAATTCCTGATGAATTGAAATAAATAATATTATTTTGAAGCAGAGGTTCTCAGCTTCACGTGCTATGATGATAACTTCATTAAGTACCGACACCATATTATTATTAGTATCAAATTTTGTATATAAATCTTTTGTAAAATCTTTTTCGTAAATTTAAGCAAAATTATACATAATTATATTAATTGCATTATCATTAAGTAATACTACAACATTTTTTATAAAATTTAAGGAAAAGTAATAATAATAATTTTTCACGAATTATTTTCATAAAAAAAGGAAAAATCAGTTTGGATAATAATTTTTTAACTAAAATTAGAAAAATTATTTTAAAATGAATATTTTAATAATATTTGTTAAATTCTATCATATTTATTCAAAATTTACATTTTACAATTTATGTAATTTAATTTTCCTAAGATTATTTTGCATTACACTAAAATATTTCGTACGATTTCGTATATGTATATTACGAAACAACGAAAGATTCGTACAATGTACGTAATTAGACATGGATTATTTTCAGTGCATGGAAGTACTGAAAAAGACAAAGGTTTAACAAAGGCTTGTCATAGGAGGGATGTCCTTTTTATTTGATTTTAATTTCAGTACTTCTGAAGTCATTCTCAAGAAGTAATTTTTATGTTATTTTATTGGAAGTTATATGGAAGCAAAATTGTAGTATTCTATAATACAATGAATGAATTAACATTAATAAGTGAAATAGACACATTTGTCCAATTCACAATCGATGTCGTATCGTTGTAGCGTTATATGTCATAAAAATTTTTCAAATAAAATTTTTTGAAACAAAAACAAATCAATAATAAAAAAATTACGACATACTACGATACAACCGTACAACACCGATTGTGAATTGGACAATTGAATAGAAAATCCCAAAAATAACATTTTTTAACTCAAAAAATGTCAGTACAAATATATCATAACATAACATATCTTTAGTTTTGAAAAAAAAATAGAATTATTTCCGCTTCTTCGGATGTCGTTAAACTCCCATAGAAGGTAAATAAATTCACTTAGTGCTACTTTTGAAGTGGTGATAAGTGTTATTCTTTTGGAAGTACATACACACTTCGTTTTATTTTTGCTGGGTACATTACTTAAGATACATAGTTTCATAAGAAACGGCACTGCTATTCTTATCATAACAGTAATATTCATTGTTTATTTTTAAATCCATTTTCAGCGCAATTTTGTTATGGAGGGTGGCGCTATGGTATTGGCAGATGGAGGTGTGGTTTGTATTGATGAATTTGATAAAATGCGTGAAGATGATCGTGTCGCAATTCACGAAGCCATGGAACAACAGACCATATCGATTGCCAAAGCTGGCATTACTACCACGTTGAACTCCCGATGCTCTGTGTTGGCAGCAGCCAATTCCATTTTTGGTCGCTGGGATGATACTAAAGGGGAGGAAAATATTGACTTTATGCCAACCATTTTGTCTCGTTTCGACATGATTTTCATTGTAAAAGACGTCCACGACGAATCCCGGGATATAACAATGGCAAAGCACATTATAAATGTACATCTATCGTCCAATAGATCAGCTCCTGTTGAGCAGGCCGAGGGTGAAATTTCATTAGCTCTCTTTAAGAAGTACATTCACTATTGCCGTACTCACTGTGGACCACGGTTGAGTGAGGATGCTGGTGAAAAACTAAAAAGTCGTTATGTTCTCATGCGCAGTGGTGCCGGGCAACAGGAAAAAGCTGCCGATAAACGTCTAAGTATTCCGATAACTGTTCGTCAGTTAGAGGCCATTATTCGTATTTCGGAATCACTGGCCAAAATGCGTCTGCTCCCGTTTGCTAATGATGAACATGTTAATGAGTCGTTACGACTTTTCCAAGTTTCTACATTGGATGCTGCTATGACCGGTAGTCTGGCCGGAGCTGAAGGATTTACCACAGAAGAAGATCAAGAAACTTTAAATCGTATTGAAAAACAATTAAAGAGAAGATTTGCTATAGGATCCCAGGTATCAGAACAGAATGTTATACAGGTAATATACTATATATTATTAACTTTTTCAGTTGTAATTTCACAGAATGATTTTTATAATTTTAGGATTTCTTGCGCCAAAAGTACGAGGAACGTACCATTCTTAAAGTAATACATACCATGATACGACGTGGAGAGTTACAACATCGCATGCAACGTAAAATGTTGTATCGTTTATGTTAATTTTATAAGTTTATTGTTTTTTCAAAGTTATTATCAAAAATACATACATAAATACATTCTTACAATTTTATATTTTTTTTCACAGACATACCGTCTCCAGGTAATGACGTGACCTCTAAAAATTTACATTTTGATTTACTTTATCCTTTATGTCAATAACAACATACCTTTAACCTTTCTGTCATTTTCATTTTATGTACTTCGAATATGTTATTTGTAGTGACTTTTCTACAACTCTTTCCTCACTTTTAACTGTGTTTTCATTTGTAAGGCAATATTTGGTTTATAAAAGCTAAAAATATGTAATCGCATTTTAAGATGTGATTAAGATGTTGTTTGAAAAGTATGACATCAATTATTTTTTGCTGGACACATTTGAATATTATTGTTTTTAAGACTTTCTGACTTGAATTTTATGTTCATAAATTCGGGGTTTTTGACAATAGAGTTTTAAATTTGCTACAACATATATTTGGATGCAATCGACTATTTCTAATCTAAAAGTCGATTTTAATGTGTTGTTTCTAGATAACGTGTAAGTAGTTTGAGTTAAAATTTTACTTGTATTTTGTTTTTGTTACAATAACAAAATACAAGTAAAATTTGTGCTCAAACTACTCGCTCGTTATCTAGAAACAACACATAAATATTTTGTATGTTACGTACTTTTGCATTTCAGGTGATGATACAATTTATTTTGGATTTTAAATGTAACAAAAAAAAAAAAACGAACATTTTTTGTCAAAAATAGAAACTATCAGTTTTTTATACCTGTCTGTTCTGTAAACCGAATCCGAGTAAATTTCTCGTTTAAAAACGAGTTCCCATAATTTTTCTTGTTTTAAAACCGAGTACACAGATCTAGTCAAAAGTAAATCGAATTTAATTTTATTATAATAAATTAACAGCCTGTTTTTTTTTAACAATTTAGTTCTCACACGAACATTTTAATACGATCAAGTTTAAAATTTGGTTTTTATAAAACATTTGAAAATTTTCGTTTAAAAACGTCTAAAATGAAATGAGTTTTTTCTATCGTATTGCCTACATATGTATTTCATTTATGAAATTTTCAATATTTTTTCATGTACTAATAAGGTGTTTGGTGTTAACCCTAAAAAATAAACAAAAATAAAATACATAATTTTACAAACAAAATTTAAAATTGAAAAAAAAATGTTTTTTGAAATACAACACGAAAATTGTATGCAATGTGTCAAGAAACTTAAAGGTTTGTATTGCAAATTGCATTCATGTTCAAATGGCCACATATTATTTCGTATTTTGGTATCATTTGCGTTGTTTTTTGGGCAAACGAAAGGTCTTTGCTTATCGTCCATTTTTGACATTTTCTTTCGTTTATTACGAACGAATTCATTTTCTAAAAACAAAAAATATATGGAAAAATAAAGCTCTTTCGTTGCCACTCACATGAAAATTTATTTTTTCGTTACAAAAACGTATAACCAATTTCGTTAGTTATTTTTAAGAACGAAGACACATTTTAATTTTAGAAAAACAGACTGTTAAAAATTACTTTTTGCGTCATTCTTCCTGAATGAAACATTTACAAAATCAAAGATTTCTCGTACACTCTTTAAAAATTAAAAAATAAGAGATCAAAAATAAAATTAATTCAAAATATTTTACAAAACAATTTAATTGCTGAGGAGCAACAGCTTTCGTTGATACGTCGGCGACCATCTCGTCTGTGCACAAGTATTCTAAAACGACTCCTTCTCATCGATTTTCTGTCTGATAAACTTGGCCTTTACGTCCACATGTTTGGTTCTTGTTGAATAGTTATTATTAAGGGCGACTTGTAAGACGCCCTTGTTGTCACAATATAAAAACATACTTTTGCTAATGTTAGGGTTGAGTTCAGCTTCAAGGCGTTTCAGCCACACTGATTCTTGGATAGCAGCCGTCAGTGACATGAATTCGGCTTCCGTCGAAGATAATGCCACTGTTTTCTTGTTGACCAAGAAATTGCGTCTGATTGGTACACAAAGACATATCCGGTTCACTGCCTTCCAGTGGGGTTTGCCAGGATTTGTTCCAAATATGCTAAGTAAGTTTACCGCATAGCAAATATCGGGTTGAGTAATTTAGGCAGCAAACACATACTGGACGATAATTTATGATTGTAGTCCATTGGAGTCAGGGTTGCATTACAATCACTCATACCAAATCGTACCAGGACATCTGTTATGTAGCTTGATTAATCTATTTTAATAAAATCCTTGCCCCTGGTGAATTTCGTACCAAGCACTGAAGAAACATCGTCCATATCTTTTATTTTAAATCTTCAGAGATTCTATCGCATTCAAGTTGTCAGAAAATATTAGGGACATCGTCAACATAAATGGCCACATACAGCATTTGGCCATTACTTATCTTATGGTAGACACATTGGTCAACCTCACCTCTGATAAGAGAGATTTTCATTATTGATGGTCTCGTTCCAAACACGGCCCGACTGCTTCAGGCCATATATGGATTTCTGTAGTTTGCAGACCTTTCGGGAACAATCATCGAACATTTCGGGTTGTTGCAGATAAACCTTCTTCAGCGTGCAATTTAAATAAGCGCTTACTGCATCCATTTTGGCAATTTCATTGAGGAATTTGGAACGAAAATCTCCTTCCGACTTAATGATGAATGTAGTATCCTTCAGGCTGAATTATCGGCGATAAGGAGGGCGGTAAATTGGCTAAGGTACTATCGGATATCTAACAGGGATATTAGAATTTATACCGATAGTCAAGCTGCTATTAAAACCCTAACTGGTGTGTTCTCCACATCCAAAATTGTCCATGAATGCCGGACGTCTCTCAATGAAATGGCGAGACATTCGAACATCACCCTAATTTGGGTAAAGGGACATGGGATTTCGTATGGCAATGGTATTGGTGATACCTTGGCAAGAGCTGGCACTATGCTTAGCAGACTGGATATAGATCAGTTCTGCGGTATACCACTACTTGCAATAAAGAGGCAGATCACTGAAAACTGCCTCTGCATTGCTCGCGACAAATGGTCGCCTGAACACACGTGCTCAATATGTAGAGTACTGTGGCCACAAATGGATCCTCACAGGTGTAAATATCATCTTTGTCTCCAAAGACCGCAGTTAAGTAGGCTGATATCGATTATCACTGGCCACTGTAAATTTGGTAACCATGCTAGACGCATTGGTCTCCCGTTCAACGATTACTGTAGGAGTTGTCAAAACGAGGATGAAGAAGAGACTATTACTCATCTTCTCTGCGATTGTCCTGCTTTGGCGGAGGCCCGTTTTCGGACGCTTGGATCGACCTATTTTGGTGATCTATCCGAATTGTCAAACATTCAATTAGAACGTCTTCTAGAGTTCATTAATTTGTCAAAATGGGTGTGATTCTTATTACTCACACTATTCATCAACGGCAGCTGCCCTGGCTTTTTTATTTCTCATCCTCTCCTTCTCTTTGCTACTGTCTCTGTTCTTCCACTCTTCCCTATCTCTCCTTCTCTTTTCTTTTTCTTACAGGTATTTTTACAAAGGGATCAACATGGACCCAAGTAAAGCCGAAATCGGCTACATGTGAAAACCTAACCTATCCATTTGGTGAAAATACATGACGTTTTTGACAGCCAACGCCAGCAAATAACGGATGGAGTCATGACGGGTAAGATGGTTTCTGTATAATCGATTCCTTCTTTTTGTGAAAAATTCTTTGATACAAGACTTGCCTTCCACCGTATGGGGTAACCATCTTCGTTTTTCTTGGTCTTGGTAAATCGTCAAGCACCCACGTTATATTTCCAATTAACGAGACCAAATTTTATTCCGGACTTCTATTTTCACCACGGCAAGGCTGGACGGCTGGGCACGTCTTTTGATGAATCACACCACAGAACTTCAAAAAACTTTGGAAGTTAGCATTAACGTATTCGCCACCGTTGTCTGTTTTGAAAATTTGTATCTTTGTTGAACACTGGTTCTCGGCTATTTTCTTAAAGTTAACGAATGTGTCAAAAACTTCAGATTTTCTTTTGTGTGGGTACACAAATAATTTTCGAAAATAGTCATCCACAAAAGTGACCAGGAAGCGAGCACCAGAAAAATAATTCACGTCTAGTAGCCCAACGACATCGGAGTGTACAAATTCCAATAATTTTGTGGCCCTTGTACCGTCTTTTCTGATCGGTCTTCTGGTCAAGGTATAATTTTACTACCTTTTGTTCTCTGCCTTACCGAAAGAAGATTCGCACATAAATTCGGTACATATACAACGTTATTTACCGTTACGGATTTTTTTCCATTTCCACTTAAAATATTTATGTAAGTCGACGTCGCCAGCGCATTCAACGTTCAACTCACTCTTGTTAGCAACAACGACTTGTTTGTCTTCTTGCTGCGTAAAGATTAGAGTGGGCGAAAATAGGCTTTTCTCTCGTATTAACTTCTAATAGTGAAATTATGTTGTGTATTATGTCAAATGGAAGACTGTAAAATATTATTCAATTATTTTGAGGGTAAGAGCCCGCGCATCGCCGCCAAAGTTTGTAAATGCGTTTATATGGGAGAAAATGGCACTTTTTGAAGTTTTTTTTTTTTTAACAAAAAGAGGCTTTAAGTATTAATTATTGCACCATTTTATGGCAAAATCGTAATGTCTACAAAATTGTCTTTCCAAAAAAATAGAAAAACTCAAAATTGGCTAAAAAAGTTTTGAGTTCTTAAAATTTTTATTCTGAAGACACATTAAAGTAAACTAGAGTTCGCCCAGCGGTCGAAATTCGACCAGAACCAATGCTGGAAAAATTGCATAAATAAGCTAAAATAAAATCCTATTTTTGTAGTTCAAATCTGTGGTAAAAAATTAACTTTATTGATATTATCAAAGTGTATAATTTGCTTTGAATAATGTTTTCTTTTAGAAAATGGGATGGGTTTTAGTAAAACTTCCATCAGAAGTTTAAAACCTCAATTGTCATTAAATTAAAATTAATCCTCGAAAGATGTTTTTGAGTACTCAATTATTTAATTTTGTTTGCAAGTTTAAGCGCCCAATGGAAG